CACGACCACGACCACCACCACCGCCGCCGGCGGCGGCGGCGGCAGCAGCAGCAGCACCAGCACCAGCAGCAGCCGCAGCGGCGGCGGCGGCAGCGCCAGCGCCAGCGCATGCGCCTGCATTGGTATTCATCCTGTCAGCGCTTTTCCGCGGCCGTACCTTCTCTGCAGCGACGCCAAAATCCTCCCAGACATGTACAGGGTCACAAGAACAAGACGGTACCAAGAACCACCTGAATAAATCAAGCTGGAGCTTGGCCATGAAGGGATTCTGATAGCTCCTTTTTTTGTTGCGATTTTTGGGATTATTACGTGTCCCTGTTGGTAACTTGCGCCTTTCATGCCCTGAGACCCCTCGGAGAGGTTCTGGTCAACAATCCAGAGCAGATCAGCTCTTACAGTCACTTGATCCTGGATGAGGCGCATCTGGGAGAAGTCTTAGCAATTTTCAGTGGTCGATGCCCACAGAAAGTACTCGCAAAGGTTGTTACAGCTCAGTGGTGGACGCATCTTGAAAATTCTGAAACCGCAAGTAGACCGTGCTCAATCACAAGCCCTGCAGCGTCCAGAGCTTCTACATCCTTGGTGCTGGCACGGTATTTTCGCTAAGTCACAGGAGCTGCAATAGGTTGCAGCCACTCCACCTTCAGAGTCATTTTAGAGCCTATCGCTAGTTCTCAAAAGCTGTATCAAGAGCATGAAGAGACTTGCTTCTCCATGGGGCAGTCGAAAAGTTAGTTGGGCTTTTTTGCCTGCAGCTTGGCACCCGGTTTCCAGCTTCAGGACAGGTAGGCCTTCGAAGGTGGCCAAACAGACCTATCAGGCAACTCAGATATGAATGAACTGTAAAGATGAGGTGTTCGTTCCAAGCTCACGAAGTGCAACTCTGGACATACCCAACCAGCATGTCTGCCCACGCTAGGTTCACGAGCGAGACGTGGACTCGGATCTTCTCTCCTTGGTGGTACTGATCTTGGTCCAGAATCTAGGATTTAAGCTCGATTGTGGGCCCATTGATCCGAAATATCTTTCTAACCGCTTGCGGGTTTGAGATCAACTGGAGCATAGTACCTTGTTGTTGGAGCTTGCCTCTTCAGGTCAAGCTGCAGATGTCGGGTTATGACTTCAAGCTCGTGATCATGTCAGCCACCCTTCAGGAGCGCTTGGCATTTGCTCTTCAGGCAGCTACCAGACGGGTTTGTGCTTGCGTTTGCCCGGAGGGAGACCTTTTCACAAGATATTTCTCGGAGAAGAAGATCAAGACGATTTTCGTGGGCGTGAAGAGGCCACACTGCAAACGGCAGCGGTGCGTCAGCGCAGGCATGCGGCAATCAGGTGAGGTGAATAAGCAGGTTTCAAGCGAAAGCTTGCACCAGAAAACTAGCCAGCGAGCTCACTTTGATTGATCTGCGTTGCTCTCAGGGTAGACAGGACGAGTTTTGGGTTTGGAGCACTGAGCCAGCGTCACGCAGAACGCGCGGGAGCGCAAGGAAGTTGGCATTTAGTTGAATGCCTTCCCATTCGTTCCCCTAGCCCTTGCTATAACACAGAACTGCGCAAGGCTTGCATACAGCTAGAGAAGGACAATAGTACTTGAGTTAGGAATTGATGTGGAGACCTAGCATTTCGACCCGATGGAAATGCGGCTTCGTTGAGAGGATGCGTGAGCGGCCCCTTGGGCCCTCATTAGGTGTGGTGGCAGCCGTGGCATTCATTGTGTTCTCCATTCGAAGCGGGCACCGCCTACGTGCGGTTCTTGCGTCGCTGGTACCTTTGCTGGTCCTGGCACGACTGCGAGCGCGAGCCCGGACTCCTAAGGTTTGCGGCAAGCATCGGCGGAGCGTTCACTTCAACATGCGAGTAGGCTGCATGTCTGTAGACAACCTGCTGGAGCTCAGTGAGAGCAAGAAGGCTCAGCTCTGGTGGCAGCAGGAAGACTTCGCGGAGTTTTTGAAAGTCCGCCTGGAAATAGCAAAAGCCTACAAAACTGCTGCACAGAGCCTTGGCGTGGAGATGCCCAGTGTCTGCAGTGTCGGGCTGCATGCCAGGCGCGCTTACTATGCCATGGTCGAAGCCTACCCCAGCCTAAAAGATGAGTCTCGACGTGGCCTTGGCCTGGGCCGAAAGCGACAGCGAGCCAGGAATCGGGACGCATACATTGCTGCAGTGGTCAAGGAGCAAGATAGGCAACGGAAAGCCAACGAGCATGACGAAGTGGCCCTAGCAAGCGTGGCCATGCGAGTTTCAAAGCCGGATCGCGACTACGCCCACTTCCTCGCTAACATGTACTTTGAACAGGACAGAGCGGATGAAGCCGGGACCGAGGTGGATGCGGATGTCACAGCTGCGCTCTTTCAGTTTGTCAATAATCCGGAGGACAGAGACAGGGGTGTGTCAAAGGAGACCGCTGAAGATGACAGCGCTAACTCTCCTGTCCGCGACAATGGACAGAAGTACACAGAGGAGGAGATCAATTGGTCAGAAAGCACACAGACTGTACCTTTCCCCAAAGGCTATGGATTGTCAAAAGACAAGCTGCAGGCAGCGGGTCTTAGTGCCACTGGACACTCCCTGTTGAAGCGGTCGAGGGACACTCATCAGGAAGACAGTGAACTTAGTGCTGAGAGCGATGCCGCTGGAAGTGAATATGATTGAGCTTTCGGAATGAATCTAATGGATCTTATCTCGTCTCACAATTTCAATTTTCACCCGAACAGACCTCGCACTGAGGAAATAGCATGCCCTGTCATTCGAGTACATAATTGCAGCAACGTGAGCAAAAACGCTTCAACCCGAGTGGCAGGTATCCCGTGGAGGTTGTCCACATTGAGCAGCTCTTGGACAGATACGGTGGCAGGTGGGACTAAGTGACGCATGTGTGCAATTCTGTGAAGCGTTACTGCAGGTCGGGTGATTTCATGATGAAGTCTGAAGGAACACGTGGCTACCAGGCTGGACAGCTCTTTGGTGAACGAGCTGACATTTTTTGGTGCTTTTTGTGGAATAGGGCAATCCAGATCACGAACATAGATTCACGAGCTCATGATGATGCAGTACTCGTGCGAGCATTCCTCACCACATGGACTTGATGAACGCTCAACTCTGCAAGAACCAAGCTTTCCTGCAGCCGGTTTGCCTCAAGCAAATCTGAAGAGCTCCGGGAAGACGTTGCGCTCTACTCAGCAGGTCAAGCTCTCAGTCCATCCTCATGAACCTCTTGCTCATGTTTCGAAGTAGTTCTCTGCTTCCTGCAGTCATAACTCATAACCCTCCAGCTGCAGTCAGAGACCTATGCAGGAACAGAGCTCGTCATGCTCCGTATTGCTTGGAACGAGGTGGTGGGCCTGGATGTCAAGGCTGTACATGACATGAGTCCATAAGCAATTGACTTGTCCAGAAAGGATCTGCCAGACCTCTCAGATCGTGCATCCTCAAGGTTTTGCTATTGGCGTTCGTACTTTCTTACTGAGGTGCAGCCCCCGGAGTACTTGGGTGGCTGGGCAGCAGAGAATTGTCACGACACGTGTCTTGAACATCTTGAAGCAGCAACGTCCGATCAAGTCTCATCTCGATCTAAAGGTTTCTTTCATGAGAGACTCTTTACGAACCTTCTTCCAATTCCGCTGGCACTCGAAGGCCTTGACGGATCTGCGATGCCGCCGTCAACGACGAACAAGGACCTGGCAGAGGCATGCTGTATACAGAAGTGGCCAGGTAGTGAGACTCGGAGCCTATTGCAGTTTTTTTCCGGTCTATACTGGACAGCATCCTTGTGCTGCGGAGAATGTGCATTTTTTTGAGCTTTAGCTGCATGGCACATGGCATCAGGAGCCGAAGCGCAAAAAGGGCTCACGTGGACCATGGACAAACTTTCGCAGCCGTCCTGAGCATTTGCGTCTGTGCTGTGCGGCTGTGTGCATCAGTTCGATTGATTTACTTTAAGTACACGAGGTTCGACCACCACCTCCAACACGGTGGGTGGAGGAGGCCGCGTGGGCTCTCCGATGAGAATGCCTGAAACCCAGGCCATGCATCAGTTTGACAGCTGCGTAAGTAATTGTTGCGTCTCTGTTCCTGACGTTAAGGCTCTCCCGCTTTGCTCTTGAAACCTCCGAACCCTGCCCCAAAGATGGGTGTCTTACTGGAGAGCGAGAGTGCATTTCATCGATGGCTTCTCACCTTGCCTTGTACTCTTGACATTTGCCACGAACTCACACAGTGGGAGCTGTACAAGGTTTTTCCTCTCCTCGTTAGAGCAGTTTTTACACTCAACACAGCGTCGGGCGCTCACATTTTGGAAGAAAAATACGTAGACCAGTAGCTGTGATGCAAACACAGCCGCAGTCTGACACAGACAGGTCCCTCAAGACCTGTCACATTTGTGAACTACTGAAAGTAGCCGAATTGTGTCTTGACCAAGACATCTCAAACATATCTCATCCAAGTGGCGTTGACCGTTTGTCTTATCCACTTGGGGACGTGGGTTAAGACTGGCAGCAACGTGAAAGGACTGGTATCAGTAGTCTCCGCAGGGCAAAAGCCACGCCGCAGGCCAGGTTAGCATAGCGAGGAAATGCCTTAAATAAGCACAGCAGCTCTTTCACTTGCTTGCTGCAATTTTTGCAGGTTACTTTCCCAACTGTTGCCATTGCCGTCTATCACTTGCCGAGGTCCAAGCGTCAGGTTCCAATGAAAGAGCCGAAGGCTGGGCTACAAAAGTGTAAGCAGCTTCTCCAACAACACAACTGGCGCAGGTGAACGTGGGAAAAGCTTACAAGAAACCACCAGTCGCACCTTCCTTGATTCCCCGTGACATTGGCAGCAAGCTCGGAGGGCTTCTATCCCCACCCCCACCAGGCTTGGCGGCAAGAGCGTTTCAACACCCTTGCATTTGCGCACCTTCGGGAATCATTCCTTCGTCCTACTCAGGTCTAGTCGCCGCATTGGAGGCGCTGCCCTGAGCGAGGACGGGCTTGGTGCTTGTACCGGTTTGTGGGCCTGCCAGGCGCGCAGCAAAGAGCTTTGTGCTCAGCGTGATGAAGCAGCTGAGCGCGAGCGAGCGCTGAGAATGGACTTGCTAAAGGCCCCATCGTTGCACGACGAATAGGGTCCCAGGACAAGAGTGTGATGTTGATGTTGTGCACAGAACGTTCGTCAGAGGAATTTTTTCGGCTTGGCCCGATCCTTGCCCGTCTGCGCCGCTTGCTCCTTTGCCCTAACCGCCCCACTTGCTCCTTGCTGCCCTCCGCTTACTCACTTGCCCCTTGCCCCAGTTGCGGGCCCCACTTGCCGTAATAAGTGGGGCGAGTGGAGGCCAGTGGGGCGAGCGGGACAACTCGCAAATAATGGTGATGGGGCGGCAGGCAAGTGGAGCGGGAATCCTTAAAGTCCCCGAGATCACGTGCATCCATGGCTGAGGCAAAGATTGAAGCACCCAAGCCGGTATGATCAGAATACACTCTTCGGAACAAAAAAAAGCCGCTTCGGTTACCTTGGGGCTTAGTTGCAGAGAACGATGATTGGAGCATGTTCTAGATCATTTTTGGGGGGTTGGGTAAGACCTGCAGGTGTTGATGACCACCCTGCGCACGAATCATTCCTAACCCCAGCCTTTTATCCTCATGAAAACCATGTCTAGTGAAGGACCGGGCGTGTTCGAGGTAGCTTGGCAATTTGCGGTCGGTCTTGGTGACATGTCCTCAAGACACAACAGTGTCATGGCATGGCCTAGCTACAAACTGGATGCTTCGTGCTGGAAATAGCCGGCCTCTCAAGCTGGCCAGGCCGAAGAGGAGATCGTGAAATTGAACCAGGAGTTGGAGAATGTGCGCCAGGCCAGAGATGAAGTGTTTGCAACTCCACTCCTCCTCCGGCAAATGGCGATTGGGCAAACAATAGTACCGTATGGTGTGATGTTAGGCTTCGTCAGAAGTTACTGGTAGCAACACCTTTCAACTTCTATTAGCCTTTTTTCACGCTGATTTAAACCTCATACTTGAGCTTCGATGGCAATCAGGCTTCAGCAGAGCCAGGAGCGCATGGCTAAACTGAGGTATGGGTTAGCCATTCCATTAGAAGCGTTGAATGCTTCCGCAAAGGAAGATGCAAACCGGCCAGCCATACACTAGAAGGAGCCAGGTTTTAACTCAACTGTGACTTTTGCAAGACGTGCGAGCTGCTAGACGAACGCAGACGCTTTTCGATGCAAGCGCGTCAACAGTCAAGCCCTCTTGGCATGGCGGAATCTAGCAACAGAGTCTTCTGTGGCAGGTCCTGGAGGCCGAGTGTTGCAGGCAGGATCCACTCTCACTTTGTTCGTCGGCCCACTCCCACACCCATACGGAAGCTGCTTTCTGTTGTTTCCAACCAAGCCGGCAAACAGCAGTCTTTCAATCTAGTTGAGTAGTGTGACAAGTTCCGTACTACAGGACTCGACCATTCTTGTTGCGGTTCTATCCTAGGCTTACAACAATGCCAAATTTTACGACATAATCTGTCACGGTGGACATGGGGCTTCCAGTGCACAGCATAGACATATACCAAGGCTAGTTTAAGTGCTTGCGTGAAACCGGATTTTGTCGTGGACGTTGGCTGCCGCGCAGGCGTGTGGAAGCTGAAGTTCGCCTTGAGATGAAAAGTGGCTTGGCTGTCTACTTGTAGGGCCTGGAGGTCTAAAGGTGCAGAGCTCCTCCCATGGCAACCGCGCAGATCCATGTCTAACGGCATAGACGCATTAAGGTCTACATGTATGAAGTTGCTGAGGTATGCAGTTGGAGGATCTGCCATCCATCGTGGCAGAAGAGCCTCATGCTTCGTTAACTTTGAAAGGTGTACGTGCTTTGGGTGAATGGCTCCTTCGTCAGCCAGTGCACAAGGTGTAGTTTGTACTTGCGGAAGTTTCCGGCCCCGGCGTCAGGATTAAATTGAACAACAGATCTGGCTAAGCGCGGTGAAGAATGCTTAGACTCTCCAGGATGAGCATTTTTTCTCTGTGCAATCTCTCAAACCTTGCTGTGTTATTCTGCGCGCGTTCTCTTTTTGCACTATTGCCTTTTGGTTGGTGCCTATTTCCATTCAGCCCACGACGAGTCAGCAAGATGACCACACTGCATTATTTACCCACCAGCCAGCCACGGCCAGCACGCCACCTTCAGCACACCGCCACCGCCACCGCCACCGCCCGCCATGAACCCACTTCTTCCAGCTCCACAGCTTGCCTTCATACCGGCTATGGCTAAAGTATGGGTGCCCTTTTCCTGGCAGCCGTTGCAGTCCTGGGTGCATGCATGCAAGCAGTATTTTGCATCCCAGGTTTGCGCAGTGAAGCCAGTGATAGCCAGTGGTTGCGACTTGTGGAAGAAAAATGGGTTGCATTTGCTGTAGGAATGGTTCCGCGTGAACGAACTGATGATGAGTTTGCGGCCAAGATGTGAAGGGAGCGTACAGATGCCAACGCACATGAGCTGTGCTACCAAGGTGCAAGGCTTGAGTACCAGAGAGGCAGAAATGCCAAGGAGGATGTCGGTGCCGCGGTCGCAGTAGGCCAGTAGGCAAGTCCACAGTTGAATTGAGAGATTCAAGCAAACCATTTGGTGGAAAGACCCCAGGTTTTGACGTCTGCAGTCTGCCCTTGAGCGTGCCGGAGGGCACGCCAGTAAGCGCGCAGGGCAGTGAACCTGAAAGTGTGCCTGGAAGCAAACGAAGCAGCTTGGCAGCCCTTCAATGTGATCTCCCACTTGTGCCGACTCCGAGAGCCTTTACATTCCTGTTCACACTGGGCCCCCGTATTCTCCCGAAGCCCCATGACTGGAGCTCAGGCGACGAGGTGGCAAGCCCGTGGCTGCTCAACAGAGCAGTCCGACATTGTCCCCTGGGTTGCTCGGTCAGCAAATGTTATTCCATTCCCACTTCTGACGCGCTTGTGCCATGATCCTCAGGCTTTGCGGATTCCACATACCTTGTTATGCTGCTAGTAGATGGAAAGGGCTGGAAAATAGTTGCTGAGGCTTGAGCGAGATCTCCCTCTCCGAGGCTGAGAGCTTCTCCATCACTGAGAGTGTAGCAGAGGGTCTACCAAAAGGAGTAGGCGCGTGTCCACGAGATTAGGGCTAAAAGCCTGCCTTCTGACAGAGGAGTGCCTGGTCAGACGGCCATGTACGATGTTGGCCTTGATGCACACATAATGTCAGTTTACGGATTTCCGCCGCACGGGGCTACTGCTTTGAAATGATGATGGCTGGACCTGCAGTCCAAAGTATTTCAAGTTGGAGCAAGTGTTCACAATGCTAACCCGTCCGTTGACGTGGTTGGCGAGGCAATGCCCTCCTAATTCGCAGAAGGTGGCCTACTTCCACGGGCCTGGTGTTGTTGTTTGTCTAGAGGACTTCAGAGATGCCTCTAATGCTAGTAGCTATGCTTTGCAAGTATGCCTGTTGAGCCGGTTATGTTGTGTTCAGCGCGGTTAAAACTTGTTACTGAATTGTTCGCGGGAGCTGACAAGTGCAGAAGATGGGGGCTTAGTGGACAGGGACGTTCTGGTCCATTTTGTGAAGAAGCTATCCACATTCATTGACAACCCACTGACAAGCTGATGCAACCTGAAACGACTGTAATCCGAGCTCTTGGAAGCAGAGTCTGTAAGGCCGCAATTACCGCAGTAAGCTACCGAAGAAACTGTAGGAGACCTTGAGACCAACCATCCCCTCGACATCTACGGCCTGCCAGACGTGTTTTGCAACTTCAGGTCCTGGGCAAGGCTGTAAAGCTTTATAGCCGCTTTTTGCGGCTTCCTGCGATGGCCTGCAGTCAAACTTCGGCAAAGCCGCGACTGCTGCGAGACTGTGAATCAGCTGCTAATTAATCCTTCCGTGTCACTGAGCAAGGCCGTGGCTGGTGCTCTGCACCTTTGTTCTGACATCAGGTAAAGGTAATGAAGACTGAAGCAAAGTGCTCTCAAGATGAATGTTAAGTTGGCAAGCACCTAGCCGTGCTCAGAGGTGTCTCCATTCGTGGACTGCCAAAGCTGCCGTCCATGGTCAACTTCTTTTGGATTCGGTCGGAGGAAGAAAACGGCAGTTATGAGTTGCGAATCCCTACGGCCTCACACACCCGCTGGGAGCAGATTGCAAAGTCAACCCGGAAGCAGGCACCTTTCGCTGGCAATGCCTATCGAGTTGGCGCCCGAGGGTACTTGAATGTCACGGAATTTATCCATCAAGTGTCCGGTAGCCAGACGTTCTGGTGATGTATAACTCACAGAAGCTGCGCAACGCTAGCCATGAGACTTGCCACATGGGCTCCTATCACACTTGCAAACCATTTCCTGCGCAGAAGCTTTTCTTAAACTTCATGCATTGTGCCTGCACCGTTGTGGATTTTTCGGCAAAATTCTTAAATACTTTCCCTCGCCTCAGACTTGAATTTGCACTGGAAAGATTTGTGGCAGCAAGGCAATCAAAGATGCAGAGCGTGCCTTTGGCACGGGTGGCAGAGAGGCGGAAGGTTGGGAGGAGGAGCAAAGCCTTGCCAAAGTAGCCGTCGGACTGTTGGAAGGTTTGCATGTCACTGTACAGGGATTTTGCAGGGTCGCTTGTTGCACGGTGGAGCATGAGGTGGGCTCCGGATTGTATGTCAGCGGAACCAGAACGGAATTCAATAGCATGCCTGTAAGAGGACTGGAGTCTGCTAATGCGATGCCAACGTCCTCGTAGGTGCTACGGAGCTCTCAACTGCATGTCCTGGGCCAGGAGAACGTGAAAGTCAAAGGGGAGTTTGATTCGGACTCGGATGAGGAGCTGTGGCCTTAGTTGTACTTGAAAAGTCTGTGGGGTTGACACGTTGAGAGGCACGCCTTGGTGACCCTAGTAGTGCAGCCGTTTGTAAGCTTCACGGGGTCTGGCAGCTTTATGCAGACCCCGCTGTCCACTTGTCATCTATTGCTGACCCTAGTGCAGTAGTGTCAAGTTTTGTTGGCTCGTCCTGATTCCAGTTGCTTACACTGAATACACTCAGTGATCTCAAAGAAGCATCAACCCTTGAGCCAACTTTGGCCCAAGGGTGGGCCCTGCCAGATCATTTTCTTCGTGTCAGGTGATCCTTGCATTAAACGGTTGCCAGCCTCTCAGGTCTGGTGACTCTGAGTTCTCTGCAGAGGATACGGCTGCAGTCGCCAAGGCGGGGTGGCAGCATGCCTAGCTTGACCTTAGAAGAACAAATTTACCCAACACTTTTGCAGATGTTTTTCGATCAGGAGGTAGCACGGCCGCTGATAGCAGGTAGCTGTCTCACTCATCCAATGCCTAAGCCTAAGCACGCCCAGCAAGCAAGGTCACTCCATAGTCCCAGCGCCACTGATGTTTCTTTGAAAGGCCATGGCAGCACCCAAGCGCCGGCGGAAGGAGGCCTGCAGCCAACGTTGGGTTGAGTCGTAGATATGCATAGGGTGCACGCCTGCAGCTTGGCTTCTGCGTACGGAAGATTACCCTTAGCAACGGCACGGCATCTGCTTCTATTGCTGTCGGAGCCACGGTGCATTACAACCGTTCGTTGCAGCATTGCATAATATCGCATGTGTGGGACACTGAACCAGAGGACCTGCAAGTGCAAACTGCCGGTGCCTCCCTGACAGTTGCCAGGTTTCGCCGAACATCATTCGAGGTGCACACTTTGTCACGCAAACACTCAAATCCCAAACGCCGCCCTCACGTATTTTACCCGAATCCTCCAAACCTAACGTAGCTTTTGAGGTTGATTGCTGTGAGTGGGGCGTGCAGAAGTGCGTAATCAGAGGTTTGGGATTTGGGTTGCAGGTTGTCTGCTGCTAGGAACCGATTTCTATCATTCCTAGCATTGCGCTGCCACCTCCTCGTCCGTGTTGCTGCGGCTGCTGCCGCGCAGCTGTTGGTACTGCGACTAGTGCTACGTTTTCAGTGCCCAGTTTCTCGGCTATTACGGCTACTACTCCTGCTCCTGCTGCTGCTGCTGCTGCTGCTGCTGCTGCTGCTGCTACGGCTACCACAACAACGACAACAACAGCAGCAACAACAGCAGCAACAACAACAGCAACAACAACAGCAGCAGCAACACTACGGCAGCAGCAGCAGCGGCGGCGGCAGCAGCAACAACAACAACAAAAACAATAGAAGAAGAAGAAGAACAACAGCAGCAGTTGCAGCAACAACAACAACGACCACAATGACCACAACGACCACAACGACCACAACGATCACAACGAGCGCAACAACAACGACCGCAACCACGACAACCACGACAACCACGACGACCACGACGACCACGACAATGACAACAACCCCGACAAGCGCGACAACCGCCGAAAGCGCGACAACCACAACAACCCCGACAATCGCGACAACCGCGACAACCGCAACCACCGTGACGACGACGACGACGACGACAGCTACTAGTACAAGTACTAGTAGCACTAGTACTAGTACAAGTACTACTATTGCTGCTACTACTACTGCTACAGCTTCACCACTACCACTAGTACTGCTGTTAATTGAGGTTCAGGATTTGTGTCCCTACCTACTGACAGTTACGTCTCCACGATCTAGAGCCTGATGCTACATTGGGATACATCGGCGATATTATAGTGGGAATACGTATGATAAAGGTGAGAAGCGTGTTATTTTGCGTGGAACAGCAGGACACAGCAAAAGATACGCCTTGGGGCGCACCAATCAAACCCATTTCAGGATACATTCGCTGATTTGTTGCTTTTCTTTGATGTTTCAAACTAGTGATCACAGTCTTTCTACACGGTCTACACGTGCTAGAGTGCTAGACTTAATGCAGCTCTGTGCAAATTGCCGTGCTCAGAGAGGTCTGGATACCCTAGTCTACGAGCTGATCTTGCGAGTCGCACAACCTGGGGAAGGATGGGACGTTTGATCAGGGATGCCATGTAAACGCCTAGAAAGCATGTTTGCAAGTTGTGGTGCCTTGTAGAGACTCAGCAGGCCTGAAGTTTAAGTCGGGTTCGCAAGGGATTCTCAGAGGCATTTTTGTAACAGAGAGACGGCAAACCGTGTCTGCCGATCCCATCAAATTTCAAGTTTGAAGAGTTAAAGCTAGGGACTCTTGGTTTCGGATCTGGCAGGCCACACTAACACCAAAGGTATGTTGATGGCGGAACGCAGGTTCCTAACTTGCCCAGCGCTATATGACAACAGGATTTGCATGGTCAGGCATTCTGGTGTTCTTGCCCGGCATCGGTGAGATCAGCGAGCTGCAAGAGCGCGCTGGCTCAGTCTGCACCGGATGGGTGAATCTCATGGCGAAGAAGGAGTTGAGTGTGTCACAGAATTTCCCAAGGCTCTCGTGGTGCCAATTTCTGCTTAAGCTTTCCGGATTTCAGGGTGCCAGGCTATCTTGGCTTGTACGTCGAGTGCTTGAATTTCTGCGGCTGGGCGTCCACACTTCGCAATCCCATCCATTCTTAGGGCAGTCGTGTCAGTTTTGCGCGAATTCCTTTGAAGCTATCTTGTGAAACATATCGTGAAATTCAAGTGCAGAGGTATTGGGCCAACAGCTTGTGCAGTCTTTTGCTCTGGCTAAGGGTGCTGATGCCGCTGGAGAGCGTAGACCAACAGGCATGTGACAATGTTAGAACCAGAAAGACCTTTGGCTGTGGCAGCGGGGACGCAGGATATCGCTTGCGAGCGGTCAAACACATAGCCACTCAGGGAGCTGCATTCAAAAAAGGACAGGATAGCTGCCTCCGGCTGCTGTGCAGGCACACATGAACTGGACGCCGGGCCTCGAACGGCACGATCTGCACTTCAAGGCCTGCTCGGTGGGCCTGATGGTTTGAGGTTCAGTTTGACCCAGGAGGTTATTTGAGGACAGAGCTTAGCTGTGCGTGGTCCAGTCTTTTTGCACTAGATGCTTGATGCAGATGTACAGCGTCATACAGCAGAGTGCTATGAATGCGCATGCGGTGTACCGCCGTAGCTGTGGTTGGTTTGCAAGGTCTTCGTGCTGCACTCCCTGATCCCCAAGGACCATGTTGTTTATTTGCGGATGACATCATTGGGCAAGTTTGGACGGAGCATCTCATATTTGCAAACTTCATGGTATCTGTACAAACTTCGCTGTGGCGCTTGCTCTTGTGGAACTCCAGTTTGCGTACGCCTTCTTTACCCATTCGCAACCTCAATCCCATCTTGAACATGCTACAAGCTTTTACCTAGTCTGAGCATGGACATTCAATCTCACAGCATGGTCAAGCAAGCCCAGTCGAACGGCTCTGCGAAAAATTCCTGAACAACGAGTCCGCAGGCCTTCCTTCAGCTGCCATACTTTGTTCCACTGCTTGAATGATGCTGAATGCCTGGTGCGCAGGACGAGCAGGAAGGGGCGGTGTTCGACCCACCTCCCCCAGACACGCCCCGTCCTTGGATGTGCTGCATTAATCATGACTTGGAGACCTGCTCCAGACCTCCTCCACAGCCTCCACTTGAGGCGGAGTTGATACGTGCCTTCTTTCCAGCGATGGTAAGTGACCCCGGAGTTGATATGGATTGATTGAATTCACCTGAGGGCGCATATCATCCTGGCCTCCAACATCGCAGAGTCGTCCTTGACGATTCCCAAGGCAGATCAGCACCATCAAGCAGCATCGTTAACCCAAATTCTCATACAGTGCCACAGCCATGTCTTGGTGCAAGCAGTGGAATCATACAAAACGTGTTTGCTCAGGAAGGAGTTAGGCAGGTGAAGCAATTGGATTCTACCGCTCCCTCAGCGGAGGGTTGCAGCGGGCTTGGTTTGGTTCGATTTCGACAGATGCTTCACGCTGGCCCCGGAGCGCATGAATCCTCTGAGCGTTCTGCCCCCGAAAAGCATTTCTCATCTTCATGCTGGAACATCTTCAAATTGGCTTCCAAGCTGAAGCAAGGTTTGGTTGGCTCAAAGTTGGTTTCATGATGTGTTGAAGAAGCAGGAACTCCTGCAGTTCTTTTGTTGCCAGGTTGTTCTTGCTGTTCGGTTCGGCTTGCTCGTTGGCTGCTTGCGTCTCTGTGTGGTTCCATTCCTCCCGCTTCGATTCCCATGCCAAGGACGGTTCAGGAGCTTCCTGATAATAGCTGTCATTTCGGCATTTGATTTCAATTTGGGAAGGTGCGCATTGTCATCGATTTCGGTCTCCGGCGGCAGCTAATCTATGACAAGCGTCGACACATGTCGGTGCCTCAATGTGCCTCAGCACTGCTAATTCGCCGTGCTTGAACTTCAGCACACGTAAAGAACTGATTTGTAGCTAAGCTGCTCTTGGCGCCCTCTCAGGTCCTGTCTCGTGACCACCTGGGTGTCGCAAGCATCGTCCAAGCAGCGATGTGGTCGCACAGGTCGCGTTTTCGAGGGAGTACCGGGCTCAGGGAAGAAAACGAGTCTTTGGATCCCTGCTGAGTTGCTGTTGTTCCGTCTTCAGGTCAACATTCGACTTTACACCAAACAGTTCTTCGAGAGCTATATGGACGAGTGGAGTCCTCAAAAGCACCTAGTCACGCGTGAGAAAGGTGCCAGGTGGCTGAGTCCGGCCTGCATTGACTAAGCTGATCTCGAGTGTGCCTTCGAGTGGCTTCTCTCGGCTCGATGCTGGCACTGTCAGGTTCGACCCCCCCGAGATGCAAACAGCTCCACTTGAGAAGCTCTATGTGAATGCCGGGTGCTCAGAACCCAGCAAAGCTTCGCTGGTGGTTCAGCCGCACTGACCTGGATTTCGATCAAACAGAATGGTGAATGGTGTTTGTCAACTCACCCTTTGTCATCTTCCTGCTTGTGCTTGTTGTTTTAGGCCCCGAGTGCTGCACATTACTTCATGGCTATTCAGATGATCTGTTCTGGCAACATCCGAGGTGAAGCACCTGAGCGCCAAGCTGCCCGAATACCAGGTTGCGCACTGATCTTGTAAAGGTCGCCACTGAGTTAAGATGGTGTTTGTTTCGAGATAGGACGTTGATGTTGACCTTGACCAGCAACAAACAGGGTGCTAACGCTCATCTGCAGGTGACGCCAACAGAGAAACGCAAGCGCACCCCAAAGGAGCTGCTGTCCAGCCGACCTGTGTTGAGAGCGCAGGGTTTGACCTGCACGGACGTGCGGTCGCCGGCTGTTAAAGCTTGGTGCAATCTATTAATCACTTCTCTTGTGGACTCATAATGTTCTTGAACTTGGGTCACCCAGCTCAGCCCCTCGCCTATGCCAGGATGCTTGTTGCCCAGCCACCAGAGGAGAGTGCCGCAATCTTGGTGTGCCTGATATTAGGCTGATACAACACTCTCAATACCAGTCCTTGGACACCATTTCACGGGTGATTTACACGGATCTCGCTACAACTCCTGACATTTCATATACCAAGACTCAGCGCATCGGCGGGCTCTTCACGGCCAAGACACTGACAAAGCCTTGCCTTGACAAATGCTTGGCCCTGCCCGCAGCGTTTTTCTTAGGCCATTGCAAGCTCCATCGAGGCCTTGCGGATTATTTGCAAAACCACGTACCCTTAGTGGGGTGGCGGAGACTTGTACCGCACGGAGCCCAATGCTGCAGCATGCTGGTGCTCTTTTGTCTTGAAATGCCTGCATGTGCGTGCATGTGTGTTTGACTGGCTTTGATCACAACACCCATTCTGCAATCGTCATGTGTATAAAGTAGACATCATCCCTGTAGTAGGAGCACGCTCACAGGGTCGTGCAGCTAGCACGGGCTTCGCTTCGTATGACCTTGTCCACCTTTCGAAGCAGTGGCGCGCTCTTTGGTATCGTCCGCATGCCACATGTGAGATGAAGGAACTACTCCCCGGAAATTTTTGCAACCATCCACTGTGGCAGAACCTCGATCAGCTCGGAGCTCTGACGAACGACTCCGAGTCGGCAGAGCTCACAGTTCTCGGGTGCGCGCAGAACAAAAGCTCGTCAGGATCAAGCTTGGGACGTAATTGGAAAGTGTGAGGTTGAGCTCGAAGTCTTGAAATTCAAACAAATCCACGTCTTGCTTTGGCTGCCAGTGCTGTTTTCAGGTACCTGATGATGGCAGTGCCTCTGGATGTCCCGGCCCATATCAGCTGTAGATGAGAGATATAGTTTGTGGAAGTATCTTCAGGGCACGATTTGGTGCAACACGCCAGTTTGCATTGCCAAATGTGCTGCGATGAGGGTTCTCAGTTCGTGTTGTGGATGTGCTGCTCATCTAGCCGGAGAAGCAAGAAACGCTGAAGCAACGAGCTGTACTGAATTCAGAGAGATTCTGTGACGGTCCTTAACTGTTCTCAAATCAGCTTGTTTACAAGGTTCGATGAAAGCCTGATACAGTCAAAGCATCAGGTCATGTGCTTGCAAAAGCACTCAGGTTCAGCTTTGCCGCCTTGTCATCTTCGGCGCCCTGCTGGGCATGCCATGTGCCATGGGGCCAAGCTGCCCTTCTGGTTGAAGCTCCTAGCTCTTGCCGATCGAGTCAGTCGACATGGGCTGAAATCTGCAGCCTCGGGTGGCTTGGGTTCGGGGCGCTTAGACAGTAGCCAAGCTCCCTGCCTCAATGCAAACCTTTGTCAAAGGTTTGGAATCCGCCCATCCCTTGAGCCTTGAGAAAACATGGCCATGCAGTTGGCTGAGAACATGCGCTCAGGAAGGAGTGGTATGTGCAGCCGCGGCCAGTGTCCAGGCCTGCTTTGGATGAGCACAAGCCGTTCGCCATCTGTACTGTAAGCGTACGCGTTTACGTCAAAGGATGTGAGACATGGAAACAAATCCCTAACAGTAAACAAGGTGCGCGTTCTTGGATCAGAGGCAAAAAGGAAGTAAGCTTCGTCTCTAGCTCCTCCAACTTGCTTGTGCAGGATCCCTTCACGCTGCCCTCGCACCTCATCATGAAAGATCCCAAAGAATATGCCGAGGCGCTCCCCGGCAGGAGATGCTCGTAACTGGACTTAGAATTGAAGACCTCCTGGGCCAGGCCGTGCGGCGAAGCTATGAATCCAGAAAGTATTTCGATCATGGGCACTGGTCGGCCTGCAGGGCTCGCTTGGACCATCTTGGACCACTCGCAGCTTTGCAAATTTGCAAGCTGCAGGTTCATATCGTAGCATGTCGTAGCATCCTGTCGCAGCCATTCGGTTCCAAGCTAGAGCCTGGTAGCTGCGAGCGCTGCGGCTGCCCTGGGATTGCAGCAGATCCATGACTGAGGCTGCTGAGCTCGAAGCCGGAGACTCAGAGGTTCCCGCCCAGGGGATTCAATCCTTTGCGCGCCCTTTTCATTCGACTTGGTTCTTGCAGCCACAAAACCTGGTGTTGCGAAATGGCATGTGGCTGGCATCCATTCAGCCCGTCATGGAGGCAACGCCAAAAGCGAACCCGATGCACAGCAGAAACAGATTGCATGAAATACCTGTCGCACCTGCACCATGCCAGCTTCAGTCGCCCGGCATGGACAGCATGTGGGAGCCTGGATCTCTGAGGTGCCTCCAGATGGCACCATGGACCTCATAGCCTGCCTGGACAGTGTGGATCAAAAGATTCATTCGATCATGTTTGAGTAGGATTCAGTGAGGTGTAGCAGTCAATTGGTTGGGTGTGCAACGTAGTTTGATGACGTGGTGGGTTGAGCTGCCACACAAGTCAGCAGCATTAGGTGGACGCTTCGGGAAGTGAGAAGTGAGGATGCGAATCAAGGGAGATGGCCGCAGCCCAAAGTCACCTAAAGCCTGAAAAGACTTTGGCAGGGACTTGGAAGAGTCATGCTCATAACGTTACCGTATGTTACCGTGTTCATGAAATCATGACCTTTGCGATCGGCATGACAGCACCAACATGTCAAAGCGCAAAATCGGCACTGCAAGGATGACAACCAAGGGGTGCTACGCTTGAGAGGTTAAGAGTCCGTGCGGAGGTAGGAAGACCTTGCTGCAAGGCCTTGCGAAGCTACTACGCTAAGTTGCTCTCTAGGCAAGTAGGCTTCACAGCGACAGTCAGTTAGCTTAGATCTGAAAACCTGGTGTAGGACGCTTTGCAAAGTTCGGTCATCAAGAGCACCGATTCCATGGACCAAAAGGCGCTTTACTGCAGAAAATGCTTTCCATCATGCTTTGTAGCCGAGGGAAGTTGTACAACAGATATCCCCCTTTGCATTTCTTGAGGCGTGTCCAATCTGCCCGTGCCCTACTGCCGAGCTATGTTTGAAGCTCTGCTGTCGAAGAGTGGCTTGATTTTGCAAAGATTCTAGGCCTGGATGAGTATGCTCCGGGTGACCAGGCGCAGTAGTCTGGACTTTAGGCTTCAGTGCAGCCTTGACAACGCCAGGTGAAAGTTCTGGGTTGCGGGCATGTCTTCCACTCTGGCTGCATGGAGCAATGGGCCCAGGCCGTGACCGCAAGTTCAGCTTGCTCCAATTTGCTCCATCATGCGAAGCTGAAGCGAAGCTGAAGCGAAGCCAGAGGCGAACGCTGGCTGCCACACCTGTGGTGTGCCTTGGAAGCCAAAGCCTTGATCCTACTTGGCCAAGCAGTTCTGTAAGCGGCTGCGTGTAGTGAGGGCGGTTGTGGATACCTTGCAACCTGGCATTCTGGTAGATGTTGACATGCTTTGTTCTTTACCTCAGGGGGCTTGGTTCATGCCGTCCTACTAGTTGCGTGCAGGCGTGACCGAGCAACTCGGTCAAGCTGCCATCTCACCCATCTACAGCCTTATCTTTTGTGCACTTGTGCAAGATGAGCCCGAGCATCCTACTTAGTGCACCCCATGCAATGTTTTAGGTGTTGGGTGTCGAGCGGTCAAAAGCCGACGTGTGGACAGAGTCAATGAAGATCTTCATCTACAATGGACATAACTCTCATTCCATTTCAAACCAAGGAGGGCACGTGGCCCATATGTGTTGAGCTCAAATGACACCCTTTCTAGAATGGCCGCAGACAGGATCCCCCCACCCTTGTTAGCGTCCGTCGCAAGGCGCTTCCAGGGAACGAGCCTGCATTCTACTTGTCAATCGGTTTGGCATTGCCGGACCATCTTGACCGAGCGCCAATCGGCCACGCTGTACAGGTGCCGAGGCAACGAGGAAAAATGTGGGATTGCTTGGCAACGAAGAGATTGACTAGCTTGAGACAAGAGCCTGAAGATTCCAGGTGCTGGTAGCTTGCAATCGATCTGCATAGCACGCTTAAGCAACGATGAGATGCCAAATTGCATTGTATTGTGGGCTGCAGTGGACACATCTCCTCACACGTGTGAACTGTTAACGTGGGCATCACCGGGCTGGGATGGACCAAGGCTTCCAAATCTAAAGCCAGCTAACCGTCTAGCTATTGTAGCAACAAATCGAGCTTGGCCAGGAGCCGCTGATGCTTCGCAACCTGTCGGGCTGGCATTGCTTCGCCGCAAGAGGGTTGCAGATTTGATCCCGCTTACAGCTCATTTACTTCGAGTCTCGGGAGGGACTCGGTTTCCTGGAGCCCAAGTTTTCACGCTGGGCCTGCAAGCCATCAAGTTTTGTGAGCGTTTGCAGCATCTCGTCCGCATGGCAGGTTTGTACATTTTCTCCTGGAGTTCCGCAAGATGCAGATTGACAAATGCAATCGCCGAGGGTGCCTTGGCATTGAAGTTTGATTGATCAGAGCATCGGCACAGGCAACAGTAGGATCGGGTGGATTTTGTTTCCGTCTGAAGCTAGGACCATGGGCGGTGAGACCAGTTCGCCCAACCAATGTAGTGAAGGCTTCATGTTCCGGATACCGTAAACTTGTTTTACGAAGGATTGGGGCCAACAAGAGTTTACCGAGGCTTCTCGTCCTGGTTCCATGGAGACCTCCTGTGAGATGAATTCAAGCAACATCAAAATGAGAGAAGCCATGCCGAGTAGTTGCAGTAAAGTACAGTATGTGTCCACGTGGACAGCAACACTGCACTAGTGGAACAAGCATCCCTTTCCTGGCAAACATCTTATCACAAGAGAGCAGGGTGAGGGTGCCGAGATTGGTCCAGTTGGAGTGACTGTTTTTGGAGGATCTTTCAGAGGACATGTTAGATTTCAGAAAAAATAGGATCCTGCCTACGTCTGCTTACGCACAAATATATGCGCATAGTTGCACAAGAACTGTGCTCGCACCGGCACAGGCTCAAGAGCACAACCTCAGTCAGCTTAAGCACGCCTCAGGTGGCTTGGGCGAACGCATCCGGGAAAGACACTTTCATGGACGCGTGCAAAAAGATTTCGGCCTGTACCCGCATTGATTGTGCGCAGACGCATGCATACAGTCACTCAAAAAAACAATTTTGCTTTAGCAAAGCTGCACGCATCTGTGCTCACAGCAGCGTTCAAGAGCACAACTCAGCCCCAGCTTGAGCAGTCAGTGAGCAGTTCTCCCGCCTTCTTCGCCGGTTTACGATCTGTCTAACAAGCCTATGCAAACGCCTGCGAACTTGTGTGCTCGCTTTCCGTGCGAGTCGGTTCGCGATTTTCCGAGCATGCATGCGTGGCAGAACACTACTGGCTTTCCTTGCCACGTTCCCAACCTTCCAATAGTAGTTTTCTGCATGCGCTCACATGTCACTTCATTCTACGCAAATTCTTAGATCAAAGTTGAGTCATGTTTCCGCTGTTGTCGAATAATCCATCCTTGGCAAATCAACAGCGGTGTGTCCTGGAAATGCAGAACTCAGTAAGAAAGAAACCAGAAAAGAAGCAACCATAAACAAGGCTGAGGGGGATGACAGAGACAGCGGAGAAAGGAACAGTTCCACGTTTTAGTGACACATTCTACCATGACAAGACTCGTCGTTCCACTGACTTGTCTTATTCAGAAGCTTCTTTCTTTCGAGACGTGTGCTTCAAATGCCGAACTACCCTCGCGCGAAAGAGACATGTTTTCGGCAAATGAAGCCTTGGGTTTGTCACTCCTCCACTTCTCCTACCTCAAACAGCACAGTGGACTCCTAATGCCCGCATTCAAATCATGTTGTGGTGCTATGTGGTGCTATCCAAGTGGCCACTTTCCGATCCCCAATAGGAAGTAGCGCGCCCCCTCAAACATTGAGTTTGTCTTGAATCCCTCGCGAGTTTCGCGACCCATGTAGTCTTGAACTGGGGTGAGCCTCTCAGGCGTGTTGGCCGTGAGTCCACGCGGAGTGCTTTTACTCGGTGTGCTCAACGCAGCACTCCTGGTGGTTGATTGCACTGTTTTGAACCGATTTGGTCCTCTGCTCATATTCGCTCTTGACTGAGTCATGGCCTCGAAGTTTGCCGTGGTCCCCAAGCGCTTGGTCAACCTGGCCAACGCAGCTCGGCTTACTTCGACGTGAGTTCTGTTGGGCGCTGCATGGCGGGCAATCTCCGAACCATCCGCAATCCTCTGAGGCAATCCTTGATACGGCCAGGGGCTTAAGCTTGAATTGAATGTGATCCGCCCATTGCTGGCTGAGAGTTCATGTTCTGGATGACATGAGAGGAGCTGCTGTTCTTGACAGCATATGGCTGCCAGTTGCGGAGGGTTGTGTTCCTTGAGGCAACCCGGATGAAGAAATTCCTTCCCGAGGCAGGGTGTAAAGCACACGGCGGAAAGGGGAGGTAAAGCAGCCAGAGTTCCTTCACAGCTGCGTGCGCATTGCGTGGTTTGCGAATGTGCCTGCATGCACCGCATTGTGCTTTTCTGCAAAACGCCGAGCTGGAACCGTGCCGCAGGGCTCTGCTCTTCTGAAGCAGCTGGAGAGCCTGCTGAGCCTCCTGCAGGTGGGCTTAGGTTTCCCTTCCGCAGACACTGTCCGGAACTGGCAGCTGAAACAGCAGAACTCTTGCAGACCAACTGAATTCCACGCTGTCATCAATCAGCTCCTCATTCTTTGTCTCAGGCGGGCGAGCGGGTGTACAGCTCTGTCGAGGCTGCAGAGGCCTTCTGTGGGATCGAATTATGAATTGTCAGCTATAGTGCTGGAAGGTAGGCGCGAAGTGTGGGCTTTGAATTTCACGCTAGGGTCATGAGAGCCTTTTCATTACACACTTTCTGCGAAGTCTGAACTCACCCAGGAGGCGTTGCCAAAGGTGCCTGCCGCCTGTCTGCAGCGAGTTTGCAATGCAAGACCTTACAGGGCCGAATGCCTTTGCCATGCAAGCTTTCAACCGCAGATCTGGCTTTCAGGGTCAGAATGCTGAGGATAGGCTTCAAGACCTGCAAGGCTGGTATTCGTTTGGGGTCCGTTCTTGGAATTAAAGAACAACCAGAATCCACTCTTTACCAACAGCTTTTGGGTCAAGAATGTGATCGGATGCTGTCCACGAACCACGGCTATCTGAGGACCTTTTCTGCAGCGACGCGTGGAAGCTGAAGGCCTGGCATTGTCAGTCACTACTTCAGGTAGCCACAACCTGTACTGCAAATCAATGCACGTCCTTCCTGAATGTCTTGGATGTAAGCCAGCGACGACTCCACCAACAGACACACGGACTGGAAACCACGCACTGCTTGCTGAACCTGATGCTCAAACAAGGGTGCATCATCCCAGAAGCTGTGGTCAAAAATGCTTCTGGGCCCAAGGCACTCCTGGTCATGGCCTTCACACCGCAGTTCATGCGCGGAGGTACCAAGGCAACTCTGAATTGAGCAAGCTGTTTCGTTTGACAAGGGAAGGGTCTTGCAGTTTCAGGTAGTTGGCTTGTGTGCCCAAGAAACAAGAACCTGATAGGATCCACGAACCCGAATGCACACACGCGACACATGAGCAGCCGCATCTATTTACGTAAGAGAGTCGAAGGCGAGGCGCGTTGGTATTTTTGCACCTGGGTTCGCGTTCCTCTGGGAACGAGATAGGGGCCGTGGATTGAATGAGATCGGCCACAGTCTCTTTTGCAATAAGACAATAAGAGCCCACTACATGTTCCAACATGGCGAACGAGATCAAGTGATTTTGTCAAGGTACAATACAGGATTCAATATAAGGCGAACGATATGAGGGGCCGTGGATCAAAAATGACGCGTAGAGCCCAGGTAACAAATGAAGGCCGGCGCTCGTATAGTTCCATCCTCTCCTCTCCTCTATCCTCTCCTCCATCCTCTCCTCCACCCTATCCTCTATCCTATCCTCTGTACACTCCTCTCTTTCTTAAAACATCTCCTCCATCTCTCCTCCATCTCTCCTCCATCCCCTCCTCCCCTCTCGTCCATCCTCTCCTCTATCCCCACCTCCATCCTCTCCTGCCCCCATTCTCCATCCACTCCTCCATCCTCTTCTCCATCCCCTTCTCCATCCTCTCCTCCATCCCCTCCTCCATCCACTCCTCCATCCTCTCCTCTCTCCTCTGTCCTCTCCTCTCCCTTCTCTGCTCTCTCCTCTTCCCTTTCTCCTCTTCCCTTTCTCCTCTCCCCTCTCTCCTCTCTCCTCTGTCCTTTCTCCTTTCTCCTCTCCTTTCTCCTCTCTCTTCTCTCCCCTCTCTCCTCTTCACTCTCCCCTCTCCTCTCCCCTCTCCTCTCTCCCCTCTCCTC